AATTGCCACGTTATTATAAAACTTTTTTTATGGACATATTTAACGTTTTATTTTGCTAAAATTTACGTTACATTTTCCCTTTTTAACCAGATTTTTTGAGAAACTTCAGGCAAATGATTTATAAGATGAATTGACTTTGGAAATAATGAGTCGTATTAAATTTATGTAATAAAATTTCTTTAATAGATTTTCCAAAGGAATTGTAAATAAAATTATCCCTAAAACGTTGCTAAACATCTTTTATACATAATTTCGCTTCAAAACGCGTTTACCAGAGACGTTTTCAATTACAATTTAATAATTTTTTTTAAATAAATAAGAGCCCCAATCTTGCCATTCATTAATTTTCTTAGAATTTTCTTAGGTAAAGTTATATAATAAGTCCTTAACTTAAATTTATGGAGATCGTGTCATCAATAAATAACATAAACAACCGGCGTCCTTGACTGTTAAGTACATTATTTAAGATGAAAGCCGACACGTACTGTATAATTGAAAGTTTCAATCACTCAACGCTCTCCAGCGTCTGAGCCGCAGCTTATAATAGTTGTTTATTTTTCCAATTATGTATACATAAGTAAGGCATATCAATTGAAACGCACATAAAAGCAAACATTCATAAACTCAAGTCGGACGATCGAGCGTATAATAATTTCCAAGAGTTATGAATTCCGTCGCGCCTAAAAGCACTCGCTTGTGAAATGTTTCTCCGAGTTAATGGCAGAAATGCGATACATAATTATCACAACGCCAAGCACCCGAGACGCTCCGTCTATCTTTTATTAACCAACCAAAAAAACAAACAGAAAATATATCGCAATCCCATTATTTCCATTTGTCAACCTTGATTATTTCCAAATTCGCTGCAATTTTCGCGGAAACAATGAAAGCTCGAAGCGGGTCGTTGTGCAGCAAGTGTGTGTGTGTATTTTTCTCATTCCTGGGAATTGTTTGTTTTAACGGGGCGCGAGAGAGCGGCGACAATTTTTGTACCGTTTCGCCGCGCGCAGACCTAAAAAGGAGGCTCGTGAAAAGATTTATTTATGCTTAATTTGCGGCCGTCTGATTTGATCCCTCGCGGCTCTGCTTGTAAGAACGAGTTTAGAATTCAACCCGAAAAGAAAGGACGAGACACACTGTATTTATTTTTTATTACAACAACTCGTCGTCGTAAATGCCGGGCAAAAAGCAGCAAAAACGGGTCGACGAACTCTCCATTTCTCTGGCAATGCCGCTTTTTGGCTTGCAAGCCGAATAAATTTGTTTTTAATGACCCAGTGTCATTTTTTTTCTCGATTTCGTTGACCTCTATCTTATTTAGTTTTTTATTTTTGGAATATCTGTTTATAAATTGCATGCAGGTTTATAAAATTCTACAAAAATTAGTAAGTTAATTCTGAAAAGAAGACCAAATTGAATGTGAAGTCTTCAAATGTTTACCAATTCAATTTAAATTCAAACAAAATAACTCTTATCATTTCTAATGTTAGAATATTTACGCGTATATGCATTGCCAATTAAATAGAAAACATTTGAAATATGACCAATTCAATTTCAAATTATGAAACATGCATGAAATTTAACTAGTGTTAAGAGTTTTTTTTTTAATATTCTAAAAATTTAAAAATATTTCCGTTTTTACAATTTTAAATCGGTTAAGACTTGAAAAAATATATTCAAACTGAAATACATTTAAAGATTTCAATTATCAGCAACTAAATTTGAGTACGCAAACTAAAAATTCAGAAAATCTCTTAAAGCAAACTTAAGTGTAAAAAAGCCCACTTTTAATCATGATTGCTACTTTTTGAATTAAATAAGTAGAGTTGAATTTCTATAAGTTTTGAGTTTTTATAATTTTTCGCCACTTAAACTTCCATTTTTGGTAGTTTTTTTAAATTTACATGAACAAAAAATACAGGTTAAAATCTAAAAACTAAAATATTTCAGGGAAAAGACTAAAAATATTTGTTTTTGCTGAAAAATCATTTTAATTTAAATTCTGTGAATGGAATTGTCTGATTTGTTTTGTGGAGAAATTATACTGTTCTCTTTATTCCGAATTTAAAATATTCTTTTTCCACTAAAAATTCTACGCGACGGAAGTTTCTCTTTGTGAATTGCTTCATTTTGAGGAAAAGTTTTCACGCGGCGCCAAAATCAATTACCAAAGTTGTGCGTCGCCGGTGATTTCCGCTTTTATTGTTAATTTCGCGGCAGTAAACGCTCGGATTTTCTCCATCCGCAGTCGTGATTTGCGGTGGGACCACCGAGAAGGATCCGAAATTAATGCGTTCCTTCAACTTGTGGGCGACCGACGAATTCATCACACGCACTAAACGCATCTTTCTTAGCGGCCAAAATTCTAAGAAAGCTGCTTGATTTATATTTATTCAAAGCTTCTCGCATGAAATTGTTTTCAATGCGCACATGGAGAGATTATTATTATTTTTTTTTTTAATTTTCCCCTCGTTGTTGCCTGGCAGCCGTGCGTGAATAAATGCTGCACTCGGCGCGACGGAAATCAATAAGCTGGAAATATTCCAGTCCGCGTCTCTCTTTTTCTCTCGCCAGCTGAATTTCAAGCCGAGTGCATCGCTGCTTTTAATGCCCTTTTCTGACCCCTTCCGACTGCTCCAGCATGACAAGCGGTGACAATTCTCGTGCCAAGTTCACCGTTTTGAAATTCGTCGGCTGGAAACTTAAATTTTCGCATGGCTGGAAGTGGGAAAACGGAAGTTGAGCGAAATTTTTTCATGGAAATTGGAGTGACTTAGGAAATTTGCATGTCGATCAAGCTAAATGAAGTAAAATTTAATTATCAGTAGAATGTTACTATTAAAATTTATTTTTAATAAAATATGATTTTTTTTGTATTTTTATAAAAAAAGAGTGCCAAATAAGAAATATTGCTGTTGCACAAAAATTTGTGGTAAAATGTAAAGAAAATAGATTTAATATTTAATTTCGACAAAATTATCAACAAATATGCAAATTAGATTGTCGAAATTAACAAAAATATTTTGTTCAAAAAATTAATATTTCACACCAAACTAAACAGCTTATAAGTCACATTTTCTCTTCAAATAGTAAAGAAATTAACAAAATTGAAAGTTTGAAATTCAATTTCTCGCTAATTTAAATAAAAATCCTCTACAAACTTATCGCTAATTTAAACACTTTTAGAAAATTCTAAGGAGGTTTCAATCGTTTTGAAACATTCATGCAGCTTTGATGAATACAGGTTAATTTTGCTCTGCAAAAAATTTATTCGACCTTAGGAATTTCACAGCCATTCATTTATAACACACTGCATTGTGAAGCAAATTGCCAAATCTTATAGTTTTTTTAACTCATGCTGTTAGAATTTTGCGTTACTATTTAAATTTCATGCAATGCAAATTATCTTGTTTAGAAAATAAATTTCAACCACATAAGACGTTTTGTTCGCGCCTCGATGTACAAAAGAAGCGAAAGCTGCGCCTCCTTTTTCCGTCCCTGCGGCGCTCTCGCAAATTCACGCACTCTGACCAAAGAGAATCGATCGATTGTCCTGCGCTAATTAAGCATGTCTCGTCGCTATCTCGCCCATTCATCGCCGAAAGCGATTCCATTCAACGCAAATCGGCCAATTTCGGCGCCTCCCAGCCTCAAAAACCGCAAATTTCAAGCTCTCTTCTTCACCCACAATGCGGAATAATTTTCCATATTTTCACGTTAATTTTTTTAATAGCCAAAGCTCCCGTTTCTCTCACCAGAAAAAATTTAATTCGCAATTATATATCAAGTTTATAAATCAAAATGGGAAATCGCTTTACGGTGGCGTGAGAAAAAGTGCACAGGAAAAGATGCTGCTGCAGAGAATGCAAAACAGTAAACATCAGCACGAACTTTAAGTACGATAGAGTCTCTCTCGGAGGAGGCGCGCGCTCGCGACTTTTACTGTTATTCTAGCTCTCCATTAGCTCGGAATAAAAGTCAAATACGAAGACAAGACACTCACAATCTGCCGCTCGTTTCTAAATAATGGTCGTAAAATTCCTTCTTTCTGATATACGGATTCTGTTTGACTGTCCAAACTTTTATTTGGACGTGGGCGGTCCACCTGTAATAAAAAAAATGAGGGGCCAGAAGGGTTCGAACTCAAAACGACCTAATGTGGAATAATTTTTAATTTAAATTTAATAAAAAAAATTAAACTCTTTGATCATTATTGCAAAAGTTTTCAATCTGATTCAGCAAATGTCAAATTTTGCAAATTAATGTTAGTGTGCGAGAAAAACTTAGCTTTAAAGAATGAGATACGTACCAAAATTAAGTTTTTGAATTTTCCTGACGCAAAGAGGTATAAATTTATGTCATTTAAAATTGGTTTCATAATTAAAAGTAAAAAATTTGTTATGTATTCCATTCTATAAAGCCTTTTTTCTTAAACAATTTCAGTAAAACCTCCTAAAATGTCAATTTCTTTGGTTTAAAAATTAAAAAAAAAAGATTCATAGAAGTATATAAATATAAAATGATAAAAAAATATAAATTTTATCTTAAAATAGGTATAAAACAGAACAAAACTAACCTTAAAAGTAACTCAATTTACTATAATAATTAAAGTTAGAAACTTGATATTTATTGCTGCAAATATCTCCTAAATAAATAGAAAAGTTGGCCAAAATGAAATCAGAGAAATCAAATCTCCTTTCTCTTTAATCTGACGCGAGTTAATTGTTTCAATGAGATTTAATTATCAACAGCCTGTAAATTGGGTGAGGCAATTTAATTGAAATCGTTGAAAGCTTTTCCGTTTCTTCTCCGGCAATTACCCCAAATCTTAATCAACGCGCCAGTTGGCGTTTTGTCAATAGGACTCTCGTTTCTATTATCTTCTTCCATTACTTCTCAAGAGCCGATTAACGCCTTCTCCGTTAAAAGTCCAACCGAATCATTTTCGAAACGTCGTCGCAGGAAATGAAAATGAACCGGGAAATCTATTTTTGTTGCAGCGCCTAGGCAGTGAATCAGACTCGAGGATGGCCGCTGCGGCGTGTGCGCGGTTCTCGCAGAACGCCTGGCGCCGCGAGATGTGCGCCAACTGCTTCAAAGCCAAGACGGAGCACGCGGCGCCCCCGCCACGACCCCCAGCGCCCCCGGCCCACGCGGTGCCCCAGCACGTGAGACTTTTTACTCTTTAATAGAAATCTTGAATAAAAATATAATGTTTTTTGCAGAGCATCCTCAAGGGAGTGGGAAAACGACCAGAGAAAAAGGCCCAGAAGAGCGGCGTTTGTTTCCCCAAGGAGGAAGCCGAGATCATTGGTTACGACGGAGGAGACGTCTCGACCGACGATGAGGACAATTTCGAGGCGTCCAACAGCGACTTGCCCGACTCTTCATGTGAGTAGGAAGATAATATAAAATGAACTGATGGTTGAATTTATAAAAAATGTAAAATTGGGCGGAATTTTCGTTTATTCAAATTTTTATCATCTATTTTGATGTGTAAAATTTCACTTCAAATCACCTACTTTTAGAAAAATTTCATAGAATAAAAATCCGTTTACCCAACAGGAGCCAAAATTTAACATATTTCTATAAATACGCATATTTTTGACACCTACGTTGCTAAAAATCACATAACTTTTCCAATCACCTGTAAAAATAAGATTATAAACCAACTTAATAATTTTAAAATTAGTGTGAAAGTTTTTTTCAAGTTTATAATCTTTTTCATGTTAATCAATTTTTAATTATTTTTACTCAAAGGCGAAGATGAAAAGAATTAAAAAACTTCTCTTTAAATATAGTTCCGGAGTTGAGTGACGCGGAGGACAAGGAGCTGCAAAATCTGACTCGGAAGAACACAGACTTCAACTCGGAGAACGTGAATCTCCTGAGCGTCGCCTCCGTCCCTCCAGCCACTAATGGCATCTCTGTTGGCAACAAAATCACCGTCAACATCACAAACTCTGTCACCACAAATGGCAAACCAAAGACGGAGCCTCTTGAACTGGGCAAGGTTGTGCACAAGAGCACCGTGCCCATCGTTTCGGTGACGCCTTTTGGCTCCAAGCCGACTGCCATTTGTGCACCAACCCCCAAAGAAAGGTAATTTTTGTATATAAATATTTTAAATAAATTTTGTTTTGGAATTAGTGAAATGCTCTGTTTTTGAGAAAAATTGATATCAATTTGTGAATTATTTTTGCAGGTCCTTAGATAAGATTGAGAAGAAGGAACGAAGGCCCCCTTTAGGCCACGAAGACACTTCTCCTCCGTTGACAGCTCCTGCGTTGGTCAAGACAATCAAAGAAATCTCCCTGCCCAAAGAAAAAGAACCAGAGCCAGCAGTTGTCAAGATCGAGGTGCCCTCGAAGCCGGTCGAGGAGGTTGGTTTGTCTCTCACACCAAGTGACAGCGACGCTTCAACCGTGTCCGAAGACGAAACCAAAAAGCCACCTGCCTTTTTGCACCACAAGGATTCGGTCGACTTGATTTCCCCTCCGACCAGTCCGTTGCTGCTCGTCAAAAACGACGAAAGGCCAGTTCCAATCGGAAAAGTACAAATTAGTTTTCGTTTTAATTTTATCCACTAATCAGTTTGGTTTGTAAGGTTTCCTCTGATTTGTCAATTGCGTTGAAGAACAATGCGCTGAATAAGAAGCCAGAGTTTGAGAGGCGCAAGAAAAATGGCACAAAGTTGTCCGCAGCACCAATCCGTCGATGGACTGTGAGCAGCGAAAGAGTTTTCATCCAGCCTAGGAGGCCAATCATGGATGCGCCTGAAATTGTGCCACTCACATTGCATTCATATAAGCCATTAGGTATTGAGAAAATTGAACAATAAAGTCTGAAAATTTATAAATTTGTTTATTTTTGACACGTTCGTAAAAATTAATCCAACTTTTATTTTAAATTATTTGCAGAGCCAAGAGAGCTTGCTGGAGAGCCTGACGGAGAAGACTCGAAAGTAACTGAGGTTGATAACCAGCCCGAGCCAAAAGAAAAGGAAGAAGTTGTTGAGGTCCCAATGGAAAAAGTAGAGGAACCCAAAGTTGAGGAAGTCCCTCAACCCGCAGAGGAAAAAACAGAATTGGTGGTGGAGGAGGAAATCGACTCAAGCAAACCTCCGACTCCTCCAAGTTCTCCCTTGCCTGATGACGATCTGCCCCCGATGCTGCCCAACACACCCCCACCTGTCCTGCAGATCAAAACCCCTCCGGCTCGGCCAACATCTCTGCCCACAGTTGTCACGAGTGGAAATATCACTCCAAACGCCAGGTCTTCTTTTCTGCATAGCAACATGCTTGGTCGGCCACAGGTGCCTGCAAAACCAGCATCGCTCATGCTGGCCAATGTGTCCAGCAGTGGCCGAAGACACCCCACAACTCCAGTGGTAATTTGAAATTTATTTTACTAATTTTTAATTTAATAATAATTTTTCACAAAAAATTGTTCCATATCTGATTTATAAATTAATGACTATAAAAATTATTAAATTTGGATTTTCAAATAAATTTGCAGGCTGTTGCTGTTCCAACCCCAGTAACCCCCGTCAAAATAGAAGAAACTCAAAAGACCATCTTAACTCCGGCTCTGGAAACACCCCCGCCCAAGCCTGTTGAGCCTGAATTTTTCGAAACCCCGAAGACAATTCTCTTCTCCCCGGAAGGAAAACCGCCCATCCTCACCCCGAGGCCCAAACTCGGCTCTTACAAAAAACGCCAAGCGCCCAAACCTCCCGGCAACAAAAAGGACGACGATTACAGCCGCTCTCCTCCGTCCGAGGAAAGTAGCTTCGATGAGCTGCACCGCAGAGACAGCATCACCAGCGTGGACAAATCGAGTCTGCAGGCCAAGAAGAATGTGGGCAGATTTTCTCTGAAGCGAATTTTCAGAAAAGGCAGCAAGGAGGAGCGCGCCACGTTGCCCGAAAGCATTCCCAGTCCGACCTCCACCCCGTCCTCCCCTGAGAGCCCTCTGCGTCCTGAAATCATCCACCCCTCAAATTTGGACGGCAGACAAGTGGAGGTCGTTTGCAGGGTGGAGCAAAGCGCGACCACCCCTACAACACCAACGCCCCAAAGCGAAACAAGCATGTTGACCCCTCCGGGTAAATTTCATTCAGTTTTTAAAATTTGTAAAAATTAAAAATAAAATTGAACAGCTCGTCCGAGGCCGCCACCACCCCCGAGGACCATGTCCTTGCCCCAAAACGCAGCCAGCCGTCCGGCACGTCCGCCTCCTCCCCAGTCAGCGCAGCTTTTGCAGATGCGGGAGAGGGACAGTGACCAAAATGAGTTCAAGCAGGAGGACTCGATTTATGCGAATCTTGGTATAAACAAATTTTACTGTAGTAGATGAAAATCGTGGGTGCCAAAGAGTCGAAAATAACCATTTGCCCCTTTTCATCCCCTTTTCATCCCCTATTTGCCCTATCTCCCGGATAATTGCCCATTTTAGGAGGTAGTTTTTTTCTATCAGCTCCCCCGCCCCCTAACAGATGCCCATTTTCAGTGGAATTTTTTTGAATGAAAATATCATTTCATGTTGATATAGTAATTTGATTTCTTTAACAATTTATTTTATAACTCACATGCCTTCGATTTGATTGATGAAAGAGCGATAATATTGATGCGCCTTACCAGACTTGAATATGCACACACCGCAATCACAAAAATTACATTTTTCATCAAAAAGCCAATGGTGCACTTTTAGAAATTTCCCGTGAAAAAATATTTTTCCTATCGCAAAATTTTAACATGGGAGGTATAAGTACCTTTGGGAGGTATTGTACTTTTAGGAGGTATAAGTACCTTCGGGAGGTATTGTACTTTTAGGAGGTATAAGTACCTTTGGGAGGTATTGTACTTTTAGGAGGTATAAGTACCTTTGGGAGGTATTGTACTTTTAGGAGGTATAAGTACCTTCGGGAGGTATTGTACTTTTAGGAGGTATAAGTACCTTCAGGAGGTATTGTACTTTTGGGAGGTATAAGTACCTTCGGGAGGTATTGTACTTTTAGGAGGTAGAAGTACCTTCGGGAGGTATTGTACTTTTAGGAGGTATAAGTACCTTTGGGAGGTATTGTACTTTTAGGAGGTATAAGTACCTTCAGGAGGTATTGTACTTTTGGGAGGTATAAGTACCTTTGGGAGGTATTGTACTTTTAGGAGGTATAAGTACCTTTGGGAGGTATTGTACTTTTAGGAGGTATAAGTACCTTCAGGAGGTATTGTACTTTTGGGAGGTATAAGTACCTTTGGGAGGTATTGTACTTTTGGGAGGTATAAGTACCTTCGGGAGGTATTGTACTTTTAGGAGGTATAAGTACCTTCGGGAGGTATTGTACTTTTGGGAGGTATAAGTACCTTCGGGAGGTATTGTACTTTTAGGAGGTATAAGTACCTTCGGGAGGTATTGTACTTTTAGGAGGTATAAGTACCTTCAGGAGGTATTGTACTTTTGGGAGGTATAAGTACCTTCGGGAGGTATTGTACTTTTAGGAGGTATAAGTACCTTCGGGAGGTATTGTACTTTTAGGAGGTATAAGTACCTTCAGGAGGTATTGTACTTTTGGGAGGTATAAGTACCTTCGGGAGGTATTGTACTTTTAGGAGGTATAAGTACCTTCAGGAGGTATTGTACTTTTGGGAGGTATAAGTACCTTCGGGAGGTATTGTACTTTTAGGAGGTATAAGTACCTTCAGGAGGTATTGTACTTTTAGGAGGTATAAGTACCTTTGAGAGGTATTGTACTTTTAGGAGGTATAAGTACCTTTGAGAGGTATTGTACTTTTAGGAGGTATAAGTACCTTTGGGAGGTATTGTACTTTTAGGAGGTATAAGTACCTTCAGGAGGTATTGTACTTTTGGGAGGTATAAGTACCTTCGGGAGGTATTGTACTTTTAGGAGGTATAAGTACCTTCAGGAGGTATTGTACTTTTGGGAGGTATAAGTACCTTCAGGAGGTATTGTACTTTTAGGAGGTATAAGTACCTTTGAGAGGTATTGTACTTTTAGGAGGTATAAGTACCTTTGAGAGGTATTGTACTTTTAGGAGGTATAAGTACCTTTGGGAGGTATTGTACTTTTAGGAGGTATAAGTACCTTCAGGAGGTATTGTACTTTTGGGAGGTATAAGTACCTTCGGGAGGTATTGTACTTTTAGGAGGTATAAGTACCTTCAGGAGGTATTGTACTTTTGGGAGGTATAAGTACCTTCGGGAGGTATTGTACTTTTAGGAGGTATAAGTACCTTCAGGAGGTATTGTACTTTTAGGAGGTATAAGTACCTTGGGGAGGTATTGTACTTTTGGGAGGTATAAGTACCTTCGGGAGGTATTGTACTTTTAGGAGGTATAAGTACCTTCAGGAGGTATTGTACTTTTGGGAGGTATAAGTACCTTCGGGAGGTATTGTACTTTTAGGAGGTATAAGTACCTTCAGGAGGTATTGTACTTTTGGGAGGTATAAGTACCTTCGGGAGGTATTGTACTTTTAGGAGGTATAAGTACCTTCGGGAGGTATTGTACTTTTGGGAGGTATAAGTACCTTCGGGAGGTATTGTACTTTTGGGAGGTATAAGTACCTTCGGGAGGTATTGTACTTTTGGGAGGTATAAGTACCTTCGGGAGGTATTGTACTTTTGGGAGGTATAAGTACCTTCGGGAGGCATTGTACTTTTGGGAGGTATAAGTACCTTCGGGAGGTATTGTACTTTTAGGAGGTATAAGTACCTTCGGGAGGTATTGTACTTTTGGGAGGTATAAGTACCTTCGGGAGGTATTGTACTTTTAGGAGGTATAAGTACCTTTAGGAGGTATTGTACATTTGGGCGTTTCTACCAAGGCGGTCTCTAAAATTGATTTTGAATGAACTGCTGATTTTTTATAAACATGTTAAAATTTTGCGATAGGAAAAATATTTTTCACGGGAAATTTGTAAAAGTGCACCATTGGCTTTTCGATGAAAAATATAATTGTTATGATTGCGGTGTGTGCATATTCAAGTCTGGTAAGGCGGATCAATCTTCTTGCTCTTTCATCAATCAAATCAAAGGCATGTGAGTTATAAAATAAATTGTTAAATGAATCAAATTACTATACCAACAGGAAATGATATTTTCATTTCAATAATTTCCACTGAAAATTGGTATCTTCTGGAGGGGGGGGGGGGGGCAGATAGAAAAAACTACTCCCTAAAATGGGCAATTATCCGGGAGATAGGGCAAATAGGGGATGAAACAGGGTAAATGGTTATTTTCTATTCTTTTGCACCTGCAATTTTCCTCTACTTACTGTTATTAGTAATTGTTAGGTAAATTTATTTATTTTTGTGTATAGATTCCGTCAAGAATCGTATAGGAGCAGTCTCGACTCCGAATAAACCGCAAAGAAGTGGGAGCATTCGAGAGCAGTTCGATAAGACGAGTCCAGGCAGTCCCGGTGCTGAAGAAGGAGAATACGAAACCGTCCAGTTTAGCGTAATTGAATGTTTTGCTTAATTTAACAATTGATTCAATTATTTGCCATTTCTCAAAATTATTATTTTTTGAAAATAAATTTATATTTCCTTCTTTCCTTCAGGATGGCAAAACTTTGAAGCGGCGCCGATCAGTGATTTTGGGCTCGTTGGAGGAAAATTACGGAGCTGTCGTGGGCGCCAATCATCGCGCTCTGGCACAACTGCTGTCTGTTTTGACCTCAAAACCGCTGCCCTCGGAAATGTCGTCTGTTTCTGTGGCTTGCTATGCTGGCGAGTGCAGGAATGTGGACGAGAAAACTCTGGTGGTCATGCAGATCCTGATGGAGCTGAAGAATATGCAGCAGGCTGGAGCGACAGCTGCGAATCTTGACCAGTTCAGAATCGCAAGACCAAAGGTATATTTTATGAAGGTTAATTAAAATAAATTATTATTTTTTTTTGTTTCACATAAAATCAATGTAATTAGAAATAATTGAATTACATATTGCAACTTAATTACTCGCCTGTTTAATAAAATTTATTTTAAAAATAAAAAATTCTTCCTCCAAAAATTGGGATCAATTGCATGCATTTAGCTTAAATTAATAATAATTGTAGTAAATAAATTCAGCAATTACCAAATGAAAGTTCTCCAATAATTATTAAAATTAATTCAATCTTCAAAATTTATCTAATTTTTTATTTATTAATCTTTTTAGGACCCAAATCTTGCTGTCATTGGTCCTCGCGTCGAGTGCCAAAAGGAAGTGGCTCCGAATGGTTCCCTGCCCTCGGTGGCCACCAGAGCGTGCCAGCTTTTGGCCCCCACCGACATCACCCTCACCCCTCTGCTGGACGCGTCTGACTTTGACCGCGCCGTGACTTATCTCGAGCTCAAAACCTGGGGCCCTGAGGTCTCGCCAGTCGAGCGAGAGGTCGGCCTCCAGCGCTGGCTCGACCTGGAAAGGGCGACGACGCTGCAAAGCCTGGCCCAGAACAGGAGTGCCAACCGACTGCCTGTTGCTCAAGAGATGTTCGCCAGTTTCCTGGTGGAAGCTTCCGCAGTCAGCCTAGCGCAGGCTGCCAAACTTTTGTAATTTAAACAGCTCAAAAAAAAAAAAAACTGGTTGAAAGTTGAAATACGCATTTCTTGTGACATATAAATCTAATAATAGGTTGAATTAACGACAACGGTGCCATGAGGTGTAGCGAGTATAAACACACAAAAAATATCTGATCTGTGTACATTTCTGCATTTTATACGTCAAAATCTCCAATGTTCATATTATAATTAACTGACAATAAATCTGATAAGTGTCGTAGTGAATGTATTTTTGTTAACACGCAGGACAATTTTTTTGTTATCAAATAAAACGACTTATTTAAAAGTTTCGTTCTTTTATTTTATTTTTACAATTATTTATATAAGCATTTTATACGTATGATTTTTCTTTATTTTAAATTGGTGGTTACGCAAATAAAATTCTAGCAATTTATTGCACTAGAGGCAGTGGTTTTTGAAAATTTGGTCGTTTTGTTATTATTGCACTTGGATTCTCTTCTAAAAATTACAAAAATTCTGCACCAATTTGAAATATAAAACAACAAACATTCTTCTGAGCAACTAACTCTTAACGGCAAAAATGTCATGAAGCTCGTTGGCGAGAGTAAAAGTACTAAACCTACAATTTAGCCAAATAATATAATATATTTATAACATGTAATCGTATTATGTACATTGCAAAAAAAAAATTCCAAAATAAATGGCCGTTCGACGAGTGACAGAGGAAAATGCACATACATTGATTGATTGGCACTGACAACCTAGAAATGGTCCACGAGCACACTGATAAGGCAGCCCTTGCGCCGGGGCACCGAGGTCATCTGCAGGTTGGGCGACCACTGCGGCTGGAGGGCAGCGTCGACCTCGCCGGACCGCAGCGACAAGTTCCACGGCTCTTCGTCGTCCTCGTCGCCGTCCTGCATCAACACACTCACAGGCACACTCAGCTCCACTGGCTTCAGAAACTTCAGGCCCAGCGGACCGCACATTACTAACGGACTCAGCAACTCCTCACCTGCGCATCAAGAAAAATCCACCGAAAAATGAAATCAATTCTACATAGAAAAAAAGGAAATTCTTTTAGAGTCAAAAAGAAATTAATGAGTCTCATCAGCTAAAAATTCTATAGATTTTTATAGATTAAGATGGTTTTATAAACATCATTTTTTTCTTTTGAGAATTTAGGTTAGTTTTAAATTATTTTAACGCTCCAATTTTTAATTAAACTGTTTTTTTTTTTTAGAATTTTAAAATAATTTTTTGAACTTATGTTTGTTTTTTGAAAATTTATCAACTCTACTTTAATTAAGTTCGCAAAACAAAATTGTAGGATGGCGGTATTAAAAAAATTAAAAAATAAAATACCTGACGAGAGTCCTTAAAAATAACTACCTGATTTTTTATGATTTAGTTTAGTTTTAATTTTTGTGTTAGAAATCAAAGATAAAGCAAAGCAGTTAGTTTTTTTTTTTAAACTAGGTTATTTACAACTCGATTAGTTAAATTTGCACCAAAAACAAACCAAATCATCGCATTAAATTCCCAAAAAAACATGCAAAAACATCTTTTTTTTTTATGGTTTCCTTTATTTCCAAAATTATTATTATTATTTTTATCTTTTATGAAATATCCGGACTCAGCGTTTCTGCCTCACCTTTATCGAGCGGAGGGAGGATGTTGGGGTCATCCGAGCGACACACTCTGAAGAAGATTTCCTTGCGACAGCCTGCAGGCAAAGCACCAGGCGGCACGTGAAGAGAGACCCCTGCGTCGGACAGGGTGCCGCCCTCGGCGCCGATCACACTCTTGGCCGCGGCCACCTCCACCAGGCCCGAGCTGCGTCCCGACAAGAAAGCAGCCACCGCACACCTTGTTTAGACCAGGCTTACACAGCTACACAGCCAGCCCCGCCAACGCATGCCGCCAAGCAAACCAGAAAGAAAAGTGCGTGCAACCGAAAGTTAGCCCCAAATAAGCGAGCAACTATGGGTTAAGTAATTTAATTAATTCCAACAGCTCAAAAGTTATAAAATGTGTGAAAATTTCTTCTATCAAAAATAAAAAAACTAGCTAAATCGAGATTAATTTTGAAGATTTCGGTGGAGGAAAAAACTAAAATAATAAAATTGTGAGGTTCGCTAGTGATACAAAAGCACCTCGAATAAATTACAAAATGGTTTATTAAAAAAAATAAGTTCCAAATACTAAAAAGAGCTAACAGTGCCAATTGGAGAAGAGGTGAAAAAATTAGTGCTTTTTTTCCGTCCTGAAGCGAGAGCTAAGAATTGAATTCGTACCGCATTCCATGCTCGATGTACGCGGGAGGGGTTCGGGGGTCGGCCGGCTTCCGGTACAGCTCAAAAGCGCTGCCTCGCTGCTCGCGGTTGGCCAGGTCGAGGCCGCTGCTGGGGTCGCTCCTGTGGTGACCGTTGGTCAGTCTCGAGCCGTTGCTGACGGCGGCTGGCACGTTGTAGTAGTACTGACTCCCACCACCTCCACCCCTCGATTTGCTAAAATTGCAAAAATTTAGAAGACAAAAATTAGTCACAATTAAAAAAAACACACAAAATTAAGCCACTGAAAGGGTAGTTCGGGGTGGGAAAAGAGGTGATCACCATTTTTAAACTTATTTGTTGAAATGATATTAATTTATAAAGGCAAAATTTAAATTAAGATTTTGGTTCTAGAATCACCTATTTTATGATACATCATTTATTTTCACCAATTTTGAGATTTCCCCCTTCAATTAACTACTTTGCAATGCTAAAATTTCACTTAAAATTACTGATATTTCAAAAAGTTTGCTACAATTTAGAAGAAAAAAACTTAAAAATGAAAATTAACTCCTCTACTTTTACCCATTTGCCTTTTTTCACTTAAAACCTCACGTTTTTCATCGATTTCTCCAAAAAATATCGGATATTTTTCCAAGGATTTTTTCCAAGGATCTATTCCACTCACCTTTTGCGACCACAACGGCAAAGTGAGCTTGCAAGAATTTTTCCATATGATAACTTTTTTATATGACCAGATGAATTTTGATTCAATTTTTTTTATGAATAATTAAATTACCTTGGGCTGTTGTGGTGACTGTGTGGTGGGGTGGCGTGGTACTGTTGGTACTGCTGCTGCTGGTGGTTGTAGTTGCGGTCCAGACTGGAGCCGTGTCCTGAGTCTTCGTCGCCCCTGCCGTTGATCTGGGTACCCTGACCGTTCGTGATGGCCTCGCCGACCGAGAAGGAGCGAGCGTGGTAGAATCCAGATGACGTGTTGTTTGTGTGACTGTTTTGAAAGAAGAAAATAATTCAAAAATCACAAAGATGAAATGACAGAATAAATATTGTTACAAGAATAAATTGTTCATGTGAAATAAATCCATGGCAAATGAGAAAAAAAATGCAATTTAAAAAAAAAGAATTAATTAAATAGATAAAATAGAATCCAGTATCCACTAAAACACCCATTCCATTTTACTTTTAATTACATTAATTAAAAGTAAATTAATTTTTTCATAACAAAAATGTATGTATTTCAAAAACAATTTGCAAAATATTTAAATTTTATTTGTACATTCAGTTTAAAAAATAATAAAAAAAACCTGCATAATATAAAAAATAATAATAAAATGCACCTATAAAATTCATTTTTTCTATTAATATTTTGGATAAATTTATTACCTGACTTGCTCCTCCCGACGCCAGTACAGGTCAGACCCGTTGGCGTCGCCGTTCTGCTGCATGGTCGGCGGTCGGTAGTTCTTGGGCTTGGGCGGCGGCACTGGCTTGTACGACGTGGGGTGCGAGGAGGGAGAACCAGGGAGACCACCCTTGGGTGGCGGGGATGGCTTGTACTCGGATCTGCAAGCAAAGCACACCACATTACAGACAAACGGACACACACGCAGCCACAAAACTAAACAAGGGTCGGCCTCAACAACATAAAGGGTTGCGTGAAATAAGCCAGCCGCGTCCGAAACTTGGACGGCTGCTGTCTGAACTGATTCATCTTGTCCAGAGGTGGCCGGCTAGGATTAGCAAAAAAAAAAAACTCCCCAATAAACAAAAATCCAAAAAGGTAACAAGAAATATTTAATTTAATTTAAATTCATGTTAAATTACAAAAATTATTTAATATGAGTAAAATTACAATTTAAAAACAATTTAAATTAATATTTGAAATTACTTTTTATTTCAGTAATTTTTTTATTTTTAATTCACCTGAATTTATTTGGATACTCAGGTCCAGGTCCTTTGGTCATTGGACTTCTCTCTGCCTTGACGGGCTGCGCCGTTGACCTGGTGAACCTGTAAGGGTCGTGTGACCTTGGTGAAGTGGGGGTGGTTTCTCCGTTGTTGCTCGACTTGAGGTCGTCGTGGGCGTTGGATCCGATCCTGTTGAACGAGTCGTAGGACGAAACGCTGTCGTAGCTGCTCTGCTGAAGTTTTTTTTAATTGTTAATTCATAATTTCCTATTGTTGCTTTTTCTTACTGTTTTTAAGTTGGAAGGATGCTGGCCTCGCTCAAGAGAGGAATTGCCACGCAAATGTTGGCCAGGCACTCCCGCATTCATGTAATTTGCATCGCCCGTGTCTCCGAAAAGCCTCTCCTGCAAAAATGAAGTTCAAAAATTAATTAAATTTCAATCTGTTGCAATGTTTGTGATTAAAGATATTTATTTGATTTATTTTCCAAACAAATTTTAAGCTCTATATATAATTTTAATTAATCGAAATCAGAAAATTTTAAAATTATAAACAATTTTTTTTTATTAATAATTTCAATTGATGTCAATCAGGAAAACATTAATTTGTTTCATTTCATACTGACCAAAATAATTATTTTCAAATTCGCTACTTAATAACTATTAAAAAAGTTAATTTTTGCTTAATTCTTCTATCATTAATATTTTTTAACTATAACAGGAAAATTAAAAATCATTCATATTAAACAAATCCTTTCTTGCTCTATTAATGCCATAATAAAACTTTTATTATTCAGTTAGGCCTTAAATTTATAATTATTTAATTCTCGCACTGCTTTTTTAAACTAAAATTAAATTTCCATTATAATTTAAGAAACCTAATTTCTGCAGATTTTTTCTATTTTTGACTATTTAAAAAAAAGTGAAAAAAAGTACTTGTGCCGATCTAGAGCCCGGAGTCCTCTGATTTCCGGGTGGTTTGTTGGTCCTGTCAACCCTGGGCGGCAACTCTGGCGGTTCAGACTGCCTGTGGGGCGGCTGCGGGAATTCGGAAGCCGAAGATCCGACGGGCGCCTCGGACGCTTGTCTCCTGGTGGGGGGCGGCGAGTGCGCCAGTGGCGACCGGAACGAGGGAGGGTGCGAGTGGTGGTGGTGCGACGACGGCGGGTGGTGCTGGTGCGACCCTGCCGGCGGGTGGAAGTGGTGGTGGTGGCCCCCGGGCGTGCCCGACCCCACCGGCTGGGTGCCGTAGTCGTCGCCATTCTGGTGCGCGAATCCGTACTTGCTCGAAGAGTCCGGCTGTTGCGAGCGACGCTTCGAAGGGACGTCGCCCGTTCCGTTCGAAGACGGCGTTCGCGCCTGATTTTCAGCGTTCTGTGCAAAATTTTAATTAATTTCATTCATTCAATAACTCAATTTCCGATAAAAAAATGTAAAGATAAAAGTTATTTTAAACTGGTGAAAAATTCTATTATTTTATTTTCCAAGTTCAATCTGGATTCTGATTATTCAAAAAATTGGAATTAATCGAATTATGAAATTCCAGTTAAAAGAATGTCATACTAAACGTTACTTGTATATGAGTTTTCTAGTAAAAAGACTTATTTTCAGAATATTTTGAGAATTATATTAGAGTAGATTCTTGTTAAGTTAATATTTTTAAGTTTTAATTATTGTTCCTTTTTTTCCATAGATATTAAAAATCTCCTTAAAAAATCAATTAATTTCAAGCAAATGAAAATAAAATAAAAAATTCACTTTTTGAAATTGAATTATCTTAAAATCAGTAAATAAATAATTTTTTTGACAAAAATAATATTACAAATCCTTTGATTTTAATTATTTCAGGGATAAAAATTTAAAAAAAGGACTTGCTAAGAAGATTTAAAATGTTTTTCAAAGAGATGAATACATTTTTGCCTTTGCTCAGGCAAAAATATACTTTTTCACCAGTGCATGCACATTATTTAAAAGAGTTTTTTCGTTTACTTCTGAAATAAGAAATTATTTAGAATTAATTATTACAAGTAAATCGGGTTGAAATTTTAATAAAATAATAATGTGTTGTGTAAATTTACAGTCCTCGTCAACTACCGACATTGCACTTCTGCGTCTAATTATCATTTGCTGTGAAGTTATTGCAGTACAAATATTTGCTCGCCAAAAAGCAGTCGGATAAAATATTTGCAGAGCACAAACACATTTTTATAGCTCGTTTTCTAGTTCGCCAAACAGAAACCCATGCTCAAAAGCACCATGCGGGGGAAAAGCGTCATTTTTTTTAAACTTGTACCTTGGTGGACAGTTGAAAAGTCTTGAAACGCTTCTCAACGCGAGCCATAATAAAGCCCAAATTTCACAACATAAAAAATCCCTTCAATAAAATGTCCAATGTTGATTTCTGATAAATTTAACTAAACATAAATTAATTTTTTACATATCAATTGAGTATGTTTGAAAAGTTAATTGACATAAAAAAAAAAACATCATTATAGCTCAATGAAGTAAATTTCATTTTCTTTATCAATTCAATTCCGAAAATTATAAAGACATATTTATATTTTAATAAAATGAAAATAAATAAAATTTTCACCGAATTATGCGTGAAATTTGTAAAATAATTTGATGAAATATTAAGAAAAGAAGATTTTTTTTGACGCTTCTATAAAATATAAAATCTAGAAATAAAAGAAAAACCCCAGAAGTGAGACGAACCTGCTTGTATGGGGGGACGAGGGTGTAGGGAGGCGGACCGGAGTAGTTTGGAATGGAGCCGAGTTCCTCCTGGGTGGCGATGCTGGGGTCGCTGGTGCTGCGGACGAGCCGGTTGGTGGGCGAGGTCGAGCCGGCGCCCCCAGCGAGCAGGTGCTGGTGCAGCACGTGGCCGGCCGAGGGCACGGCCGCCCCTCCGGCGGCCGTTGAGCGCGGCTCCGGCGACAACTCGAGGTCCGACTCGGGCGACGAGGCGTACGAGAGGCGCGACGTCATCGGGAAGAGGAAATCGTCGGACAGCGCTTCCTCCGGCTGCAAAGAAGGGTCGCAGAGAGGGTGGGGAGGGGAGCGTGGGGCCAGTATGAGTAAAACAACACAACAAAACACAAAATTCGAAAAACACAAAAAACGTACGTGAAAAATCGAAAGAGAAAGAGAGAAAAAGATAGAGATATAAAGGTTGTGCCCAGTGAGAGTCAAATTGAATTTGTGTCAAACCGACGTGAGGGATTTTGCCAAAAGCATGCCAAGTGAGTTAAATTTAATGCAGAACAAGCGATGCTCATAAAAGGAGAAGGAACAAGCAGGTTGAAATCTATACAAATTTTAAAGGCTGGAAAATGCGAATAATATAATTCAAATAAAATATCAAATTTAACAAATTAACACATTTAAATATTTTGAATCTACTTTAGAAATTGAAAAACATTACAAGATCTGTTGATTACATTCATTATTATAATTTATTATTTTTATTCTTCTCGGTCTTTTGACTTTTGAAAGTCATTATTTTGAGTCTAATGAATTTTTATAAAAGAGAATAAATTGATTTGTCTTCAATTGACTTTAAAATGTTTTAAAACGCCATTTTAAAATAATTTATTCATAAACTGACCTTTGTGAATGAAACTGAAGATAATTAATTCAGAAGTGAAGGGGGATCTTTGTAATTTTCTTAACTGTTCAATGAGACTGGAACGTGTAATTTATTGGCAGCAAAATGTACAATGCGCTCTATACAAATCCGAGGCACTCCTCCCAACTGGCCAAATTTGGCGAAGAGCTGGGGGAGGTCGAGTTGAAATAGGGCCGGGCGACGACCGAGCACACGGGCGGAGGCACCGGCATGCTCGGCACGTGCACTTCAAAGCCAGGGTAGGGCCACTGGTGGAGCGCAGAGGCGCCCGGGACGCACGAAGGATACATTGCAGCGCGACACGTGGGCAAGATACTCAGGCAATCCTACACGTGTGTGCAGAAAAAAAACAACGGGGAGAGAGAGAAAATAAGGAGAAAAGCACCAGACAGGAAACCAAGGGCGGGGGCGAGGGAGAAATTAAAAATTACAAAAATGCAACCAGTCCGAAACCAAATTAAAAAATAAATAATATCGAGCTGTTTTTTTCCAAATCAAAATTATTATTTAAAATGTCATGTGAGTCAAAATAATAACTTCATGCACCATAGAAGGCATCGAAACATTCAAAAGATGGAAAGCTCCAGTGTTCAAGTCTCCGAGTCTGTGGTAATTTTTGTTTGTTTTTGTACATGCGATGTCTCACCTTTGTTTCTGAGATCCACACCGGCTGGCTCTGCTGCGTCTCGAGCAGTTCCCTTAACTTGCGGTACCAGGCGTCGGAACCGGCGGTCAGGCCGATCGTGCCGGTGAAAATGTGACTCCACAGCTTTTCCAGCTTTTGACTCTGCTCGAGCAACTTTTTGCTGCTCTTGTGAACTCCCCTGGAACAATCATTCACGGTCAAATTATTTTTCGGTCCAACGCTTTCGTGTCTTAGTGGGACTGATGTTCAAGCAGGTTGCAGGGTTTGTTCAAATCTAGGCAGGTGCAAAGCGAATTTTACTTTAAAAAAATAAATACAAAACCACAAAAATTGAGTTCACCAAGTCAAGTGTAAGCATGCAATGGAATGAGAAAACAAAGTCAACGTGAATATTATTGAAATATAACAAAAATCCTATGTTTTCTCATGAAAAACAGTGAAGCAAAACAGGCAAACTCGATTTATGTCAGAAAAGCATTGGCGTGAATTGATGACAGATGATGTTGCAACTCCAATCCATCACCATTCAATAGAAAACGGATCTAATACCTTCTGAACAAATCCCTGGGGGAGCTGCTAAACAGATAGAGAATTTTTTTGTTAATCTTTGAAAGTTCTACACACTAAAAAACAGTAAAATATGTAACAAAAACATTAACACAGATTTACATGTAATAATTAACGTTTCAAATAAAACTCACTTGGAATGTCCGGCCCGAATGTCCTTGACCACCTGCTTGTTGTCCGCCCGCAGGAAGACAACAATGGGGTAGAACTGGGCGTAGTTCAGTCTGTCCACAGCGTTGGGAGTGATGTCGAGCAGGCCGTGCTTGCCACGATCAACCATTTCTCTGATTGCTGAGAGTCGAATTATGCTGGAGGCCTTGCCTCCCTTCTCACTGTCCGTAGACTCAGTTTCTGATTTACAAAATAAAACGCTTTTTAATATTTTAAGAATCTTTTCCCAAATTGAATTAGTTTCTTAACTTCTTTAAATGTAAAATTTAACTAAAACACATAACACTATTTTAAACTGTGCTTAAAAAGAGAACTTTAGGGACAAATTGGCACTTACGGGGAGACGTGAATTTGTCGGGGAAATCCCTCAAGAGCTTTTCTCTGGCCACGTCCACGACCGGTCCAAAAAGAACAACAGGTCGAACAAAACCAGGGTGTCTCAAAACCACCCTCTCATAGGCAGGGAATTTGTTCATGCTGTCAGCGAAAACCACATCATCCCAGTGATCCTAGAATCCAGATTTTAAAATAAATTCCACCATGAAATTACTTCAGTCCATACTTTGCTTAGGGACTTGGAGCGCCTGTGGTTGCTCCTCCTGCGCCGGAAGAAGCTGCCTCGGCTCTCAGAGGCGGTGAGTTCTTTTTTGCTCGCACTCAGTTGGGCCGCGGCGAGTTCGTCGGCCCTGGCCTTGTTGGGAATTATTCCCTTCTGCACCTCCTGGTTGTTCCGCCCTATCCGGTAGACCTGCCACGAACCGACCACCCCGTTGTACAAAGTGTCCGTCACATGGAAAACGTCACCCTTTCGGAAGCACATTTCACCCTTGTTGGGTTGGTCGTAGTTGAAGTGAGCTCTGCAAATTTGGAAAATTAATTTTGAAATTGTTTGCAGAAATTTAATCAATATTACTTGATATGGAACGAGTCTCCTCGCTGGTTGGCAACGACCTGGTCGTACTCCTCCCTCCTGTACTGGACAATGAGGTCGACCTGGTCCTGCAAGCCCAGCAGCAGCAAAACAGCCTCTTCGCGAGTCATGCCCTTGACATCAGTCTCATTGACCTTGAGGATTTTGTCTCCCGGCTGCAAACCTTGCAGGGATGCAGGAGAGCCAGGCTGGACGGCTGTGACGAAGATGCCGGCCTCGTTTCCGCCGGTCAGTCGGATTCCGACCGAACTCTCTTTTTGGAATGTGATGTAACGAGGATCAGGCCTGGAAAAAAATGTTAAAAAGAAAAAAATTTAAGCAAATTTTAAAGTGATACAAATTAATGATCCGCACTTATAGTTAGAAATGAATAAAATTGGATTTAAAAAATCAAATTCATGCGTTTAAATGGTAAATTTTAAACTAAAACGTACATTGGCAGTTTATTCCTGCTGAGAGGGTCTTCATCGTACAGTTGCCGTCTGGTGCTGTAATAATCCTCAGGTCTGGGAAGGGCAGGTCTAGGCGGAGGCCCTGAACCGTCATCGGCTGGAGTCGCTGGCCTGTCAAGTTGACTGAGGGAAACGTCCATCAAAGGCCCCCTCGACCGTCCAGGCGTCGTCCTCGGGGCAAGATTGCTGCTTTTGTCAGGGTCGGAAAAGGAAGACTGTCCGGCCATTCCTCTTGTCGGCGGCTGGACGTAGAGATTTTGTGAAGAGTAGCCTGACGAGTTCATCAGCAAGTTGTTGCTGCTGTTTGAAGCTGAACAAAATGACAAAATCAATTAATTAAGAAAATTTTGATTAAAAATAATTTACTTTTTTGAAGTCCTTCTCTGCTCAAGCTGGTGGCTCCCATGCTGGAAAGGTTGCTGGCGTTTTGGGCCAGAGGATCTCTTCGTACCTGATAATATTTATTTAATAATTTAATTTTTTTGGTTATAATTTATCGTTTAAAAAACTTAACATATTAAAAAAATACAAAAAACTAAATAATTTTAAAATTTTAAATTGCATCAATAAATTTGGGCTTTATTTTATTTGAAACTTACAACTAGGTTCAGTCGTTCCTTTGTGGAGTCCATCAACTTCTTAGCCTCTTTCAGGGTCATGTTTTCGGTCGGGAGGGCGTTTATTGAGAGCAGGATGTCTCCCTCCCTGAGACCAGCCTCCCGACACCTGGAGCCCACCTCCTTGACAAACAGCCGGCATCCTAGGACTAGACCAAAGTCTGCAAAAAAAATCTTAATTTAAATTAAAAATATTTTTTATTTTAAAAACTGACCGTCCTTCTTCTTGCCCCTGGCCAGCGAGACCCTGAGGGTCTGCGTGGGTTCGGCGGCGGCCGCCACGTTGGGGTTGCTGCCGGTCGGGGGCAGGACGACCCTGCGCTTGACCACCAGCTGCACTGTGTGTCCCGAGTCGCGCAAAACCTGCACGGCCGTGCTGTAGTCCACGTTCTCGAGGGGCACGCCGTTGGCGCTGAGGATGCGATCGTTCACCCTGCAAGCAAGCAGCTTTTGCAATCAATTCGATTCACTCTGGCTGCCTCCGAGCAGCCGCTCCTTCTTTGCATTGCGAGAATTTTTAATGAGCACTCGAGCGGTGCTGCTGCTGCTGAACCGCTAACACGGCTTTCAATTCAAAGAAAGAAACTTTTCATTTTCAACACGTTTGATCCGCAGCTCGATAATTATGATAAGTCGGGTCAAAGGTCAAAGCGACGTGAAAAGATTCAAATTGAGATGTTAAAATTACCGAATTTATTTGACAAGAAGAATAAAAAAAGGGGATTTAATCAATTTGCTTTATTGAATTCGAATTTCTTTCAAGATTTAATCCAATTCAATAAAATTTCCAAATTTAAATCAGCAAAAAAGCTACATTTTAAAAAAAAAAAAAAATATCATTAATAAACAAAACTCAAAATTTTGTACATTAAACAAAAGAAGTTTAAATTAAAATTAATTATAATTTTGATGTACTGCTTATTTTAACTCGTATTCTTAAATTCATTTCTGTAGCAAGACAATATATTTAATAGATTAATTTAATATTTTTCCAATAAGAACAATTCAAATAATCTAAAAATCGAGATTTAGTATATTAACATGTCAATTTATTTTGCTTCTATTGAAAATTTTCTTTTGAAGGCGTTTTAATTTTTAACTAAAATTTTGATAAAAATGAAAGAATTTCAACACTGTTATTTTTAAATTATAATTAATTTTCTCTAGAAAGATAATTTAATTTAATTAATAAATATATTTTCTATGAAACAAATCAAATTTTTGAATTATAAAAAGGTCATGGCAGAATTTTTATCTAAATAAATAAAAAATAAGGTCAAATTAATTCCCTGTGATTTTTAATGAAATTTTTCTTCAAATGAGTAAAAAATTGTATCTAAAGAAGTAAAATTCGGCTGAGAAAAGAAAGAATTAGGACTTACTGTAATCTGCCTTCGGCGGGGCCGGCTTTGAGGACGTCCGAGATGGCGATGGCGGGGTCACCGTTTGCAAAGTGCGGGTTGTCGCGGCCGCCGCTCACAGCGATGCCGAAGCCATAGCCAGGCACTCTGCTGAGGTTGACGGTGTGGTACTCCCAAGAAATGCGCTCGCCTCCCTGCAAGACAAACAGAGAAAAAACACGTTAGCTATACTTATATTATGCCGACGACTCCTCTTCGCAACGTAAAAACAAATATAGGCGACGAACGAGCCTCGCTCGCCGCGCCGCAATAATAATAATGCGCGTTTATTTGTTTACAACGCTTCCCATTCCATATCGGTCACGCCAAGGTGCGACGACCTAGGCGCGCTCCTTTCAACAATCAATTATTTTTTCGGCGAGACCTGAAACTGTTAATTGTTTCCTCCTTCTCGACGCCGCAGTTATAATTGCTCTTGAATTCGATGAACTGCTGAAATTACTTGTTTTACACCTTCCCTGACTAATTTTATTGTTTAACGGGTTTAATTTTTTTTATTTATTTCAACAGCAAAATTAAATTTTTTTTTAAATATTTGACCCAGAATTTATTTTCGGTCCAATTTTTTTTAAATTTATTCTTTTCAAAGCATTCTATTATATTTGAAAATTGAATACTTTTTGAACCATGTTCATGTGAAAATTAATTCTCAGATAATTGTTAGCGTGCGTGTTTTTTCTGTTCTAATTAGTGTAGAGTAGTGTTTTGTTTGTGTTGTAAAGTTTAAAGCAGTTTCAGTAAATCCACGTAAAAACCTCTAAAAAATTGAATAATAATAATAATTAAAGTTATTGACTTTTGTAAATTTAGTAGAATTTAGTGTTGCAAAACTTGGCCTCGATTTTTAACAAGGGTATCAAAATTATTAATTATTTTAATGTAATCCTGTAAATTGAATGTGAATTGTTTTTATATAATTGTTAATTTTAAATTATTTCAACTAAAAATGTTTCATAAATTTTTGTTGTTCTACAGTCCATACTTCAACTAGAATTGTTTGTAATTAAACTAAAATAAAAAATTAATAGAAATATTTGTAATTTGACAATTTTGAGTGTTTCCTTGTTAATTTTTCCTTCTAATTAATAGTTTTTGAGCAAAATCATTTATTTTTGCATTCTTAGCAATTCTTGGCTACTTCACTGTCTATTTCATTATTTTTTTTTCTTATTCTTACTGAACCAGATGCCGATGATTTCTTTACCTCTCTTTCAATCCAAATCAATTAACTTCCAAGTCAAATCAGTAGATCAGATTTAGAGCTTACATGAGTGATTTCGGTTCTCCGCAGTAATTCAATATTCAATCCAACCGCGAAAGTCGATTCCCAACTACTAACGTTTTTAATTTGACAATACGATTTTTTTTATTTTCTGCCTTGGGCGATTTCAAACAAACAAAAGCTATATATACGCATCGAGATAGCGCGCAACGCAAATGGGCCGATGTCGAAATTTGTATGTTTGTCCGATTGGAGCGTTAATTGCTGTCTTCGCGAACGCAGATATTATCACGGCGCGTTTCTATTATTTCTTCCGAGAAACGCGACGGTGCAGGCGCTCCATACACCATTTGTCATTTCCAATTACGAAACGACTTGATTGGTGTTTTGGACGATTAGAGCCGCACAGGAGAAATTATCGTCCGAGAAAATTCGCCGACGAGCCTCACGATTTGGAGCTACTTAAGTGACTCGGCACGTTACTTGGTGGACATGCAAAGGTTGAGGCGTCAATTTTTATTTTCGGGTTTATTGTTTTGGTTACAATGAGATTGCGATGATTCTTAATATGGAATTATTATTGTTCCATTATTTATGCATCTTCTTAAGAGCATAGAATTAGAATAACATTAATAAATATAAATGAAATTAATTATTCAATTTCATAAAATCATAAAAAAAAATTGGAAATTATTTTTTTTGTAACAAAGAAATTCATTTAAAAAAGTGCTGTTCCCATAAAAATTTGTAATTTGTTCTAGAATTTTTGCAGTCAAATTTATGAACATAAGTTTTAAAATTTTTCCTAATTTTTTTAATTTTATTTGCAAATTGCGATTAAAGCCGTAATACAGGAACAATTTTTGACAATATAATGCCTTTTCCTGGCAGAGTTCATGATGAGAATAATAATTTTAATTCAAATTTTTCATTTAAAGTAGCTTTCTGTGCATTCGGTGAAACTTCATCCCCAGTTTCCTATCCGCAGCTATAAAAAAAATCATTTTACCAGAAATATCAATTTTTAATTTAACAAATACAACATGGATGGATTCAATCAAATCTCAAGAAACTGGAACTTCGAGAGCGAGGAAGGAACGATCTCTATGATAAAGATACGTTTCTTATTTTCTTGATAGAGTTAATCTAGTTTTTTTAGGAACTTATTCAAAGCTCAATTTTTGGTACAATGGTTAAAAAAAAATGAAAAAACAATTCATTTTTAAAATAAATATTCTAAAAAACAAACATAATTTTCCTGAAAAAATTTTAACTTTCATGAAATCAATTTTAAGAAACTGACTTTCGTAATGTTCAGAATTAAATTAGAGTAAAATTTAGTTGAAAGACAAATTAATTCCTTAATTTTGAAACTTTGAATTTTTGGAATTTTTAGATAAAAAGTGTCCCAAATTACTCAAGAAAAATACCTTTCAAATTTTTATTTCATTAAGATTGGAAGTCGAGCCGTGAGATCGAACGCGACAATAATCCCGGTAAAAAATGCGAGGCGTGAAAAATCCAAATACACTTGACAGAGCCTCGGCCGGCACAATGTATAATAATAATAATAAAAAAACAAATCTCCTCCGCGTCTGACAAAGTGTACGCCTCGTTGCTGCTGAGGTAGCCGCGGCCGACACAAAAAAAAAGATAATAACTGAGCAACCACCTAGAATAAAAGAGGGAGAAGAAATAGTGTCTGGCGCGAGTGGAAAATATGTAGAAAAGGCCGGCGTGGTTAATAATATTCGGAGATGCACCGTGGCAATCCAATCAAAAGTGAGCCAGGTAAAAAAAAAAGAAGGACTATATCATTAAAGAGTGGCTCGGAATATATTATTCATCTTGAAAAACGGCCTCGCCGCTTTTCTTGTAAATTAAAACCGGCTGAAATATATCGAACAAATACAAGCTGGTTGAGATTTATTCCGCCGCATTAGCGCAGTCTGGACGGCATAATTCTGCTCTTCACCTCTCGAGAAAGACGAGAAATTCATTAATTCGCGCAGCTCGGGAAAATGATATCTGCGATCGCTCGAGTGTGCCACGCGGTCGCCCACCTTTCTGCGGGCAAGCAATTTGTTTTAGCCCCGAGATGAAGCTGTTGATTATTGCACGCCTGGTGATAAATAAATTCAGGCTCGACAACAAATAATTAAATCATTTCAGGGGCCGGCTAAAAGGAGGAATAATATCCTCAGTTTCAAGTTTTTTATTCATATTAAATATATGCGCTATAATTAAGTCGGCTTAATTTAAAAATGGAACAGTTAATGATTTTTTGACCCTATTTTTATTTGTCAAAATGTTCAAAAAAAAAAAATATTATTGAATGTAGAATAATTTAATAAATAAATGATAAATACAAAGTAATAAATTTCTACAAATTTGGAATTTAAATTTATTACAAGCAGTTTTGATTTAAGTTAATAAATTAATGGTCTGGTCTAATAAGTTCAAAATAATCTCTGCGTTTTCATTAAATCGAAAACTTCATTAAATCTCGGAAATTAATGTAGCACAACTGGCCTGGATCGCGATTTCGCCCAATTACGTTCATGTTTTTATGAGCAAAAAAAAAAAGAAAGTTGAGCATAATTAAAAATAAATTATATTGTTAAATAATGAACTAATTAACGAAATAGGCAATAAAGAATGAATGAACCCTTTAAGAGAAACCACAGAAATCCTTCGCATTTTCTAATTTTTTTTTTTTTTTTGTTATTTATATAATTTTTCTGTATCGCTTGGTAAGCTGTTGAAATAGAAACCAAATACTTTCACACAAAGTATGTAAACAATAAGATTAATCATAAAAAATTGTACCAAAAACCGCAGGATTTTAACATGTGGCTTTTTCTTAATTATTTTGTCCCAAAATATCCCAATTAAAAATTCTACATGGCAATAATCAGTGCAGTAATCATCGCTTTCAAAATAATAATATTATTAATAAAAGGTTCACCGCAAATTTCTGTGAAAAGAATAGATCTTAGGCATTCATTGGGAATAATTTAAAGGGATATTTGCTTAATTTAGTTGAAAAGTTATCGTCTGATTTTATTTATTCTGAAATCATTTAATTAAAAAATATTATTGATGAACTTTTTATTTTTCTATGTATGAATGATGAATTTGGGTAAAAAATTGCTTGTTGAAACTGGAACATTTATTTTAATTTGCAAATTTGAGCAACAAAATAAATGTCAAATCATGTTAATTAATGAAGATTTTATTTTCCTTAACAAATTTTAAATTATGTTTCAAATTTTGAAGGCCTTTTGACAAAAAGAAATAAATTTAAAAACAAAAATACAGCTAATTCAAATTTCAACCAACGTGGAAAAATGTTTTGATAATAATTCAACTTATTAACTTTTTTGTTTCTTCTCTACAATTGGATCAATTTCTAATAAAACCACATTAATCATGTGAAGCCTTGACCTGATCTGACGAGATTTGGGCTAATTGCGAGCAAATGAAGCGGTCGAGATGGTCTCGGCTGCTTTCGGCGCGCAACAAAGTGTTACGCCGCGCAGCAGATGAAATATTTATTATTATCGAGTTTGGTTTCTGGCGTGCAAAATCCCGCGGGTGCCGCGCCAGGTATTGACCGCAGGTATTTTATATTTCGGTCCGCGACCCACCGACTGGCAACTCAACGAACGACCGACCGACTGGGGCGATGAGGAAGGCGCAGCAGCTTTTCAAAGATTATGGTCGGCGGCCTTCGCGGCTTAGCATTGAACGACCGAATGTCGCGGTCCAGCAGCGCGGCCATGCACCAATTATATCCCAAAGTCTGCCCGAGAGAAAATGTTTTTTCTCCTCTTCATATTTGGGAGACCGTCGAGCGCACGATCGCGCTGTCAATTCGCGTTATTTACTCCAGATTAATTTTCCACTTTT